TGTAGTTTATTTCTAGTTTCATAGCTTAATGGTTGGGAAAGATGCTCAATATGATTTCAATCTTCTTAACTTTATTGAGGCTTGCCTCGTTTCCTAACTTATGGTCTATCTTTGAGAATGTTCCATGTGCACTTGAGAAGAATGTATATTCTGCTTTTTTTTGGATGGAGTGTTCTGTATATATCTATTAAGTCTATCTGGTCTAGTTTTTCATTTAGTTCCACTATTTTCTTGTTGGCTGTCTTCTGTCTGCATGATCTATCCATTGATGTAAGTGGGGTGTTGAGGTCCCCTACTGTTATTGTGTTGTTGTTAATATCTCCTTTTAGGTTTGTTAATAGTTCCTTTATGTACTTTGGTGCTCCTGTGTTGGGTGCACAGATATTTATATTCCACTTCTTGGTGGAGTGTCCCTTTTATCATTATATACTACCCCCTTTGTCTCTCATGGCCTTTTTTATCTTGAAGTCTACTTTGTCTGGTATAAGTATGACAACACCTGCTTTCTTTTGTTTGCCTTTAGCTTGGAGTATTGTCTTCCATCCCTGCACTCTGAGCCTATGTTTGTCTTTAGAGCTGAGATGTGTTTCCTGGAGGCAGCATGTTATTGGGTCTTGTTTTTAATCCAGCCACTCTGTGTCTTTTGATTGGAGAATTCAGTCCATTTACATTTAGAGTTATTATTGATAGATAAGGGCTTAATGCTGCCGTTTTATTACTTGTTTTCTGGTCGTTCTGTATTTCCCTTGTTTCTCCTCCTATATGTTTCAGAATGCCACTTCACTTTGGTAGTTTTCTATGATGGTTTTCTCAGTTTTCTCTTTACTTTACCATTTGTGTCTCTGTTGTGATTTTCTTTTAGTGGTAACCTTGAGGTTTGTATAAAAGATCTCGTAGATGAGATAGTCCATTTTCTGATAGCCTCTCATCTCCTTTAGTGTAAGCAGGTTCCCTTCGTTTCCTCTTCCCCTTCGGAGTTACTGTTGTCACAACTTACTCCATTTTGTGTTGTGTGAGTTTGTGATTAAAATGACGAGATTATAACTAATTTTGATATTTTCCTTAATTTTTTTAAATAATTTTTATTTATTTAATTAACTTTTGTGAGGAACATTGGCCCTAAGCTGACATCTGGGCCAGTCTCTCTCTGTTTTTTTATGTGGGATGCTACCACAGCATGGCTTGACAAGTGGTGCTAGGTCCACACCCAGGATCTGAATCTGTGATCCCCAGGCCACCAAAGCAGAGCACGCCAAACTTAACCACTGTGCTACCAGGCTGGCCCCCCCACCTTTTATCTTTAATGTTATAATTGTTTGATAACGTTGCGATAGAGAGCTGAAATTTTTTTCTTTTGTCTCCTTATTTATCTCCTTGCACAAGGCTTTGTAAACCTTTTTTTTTTTTCAGGTATAAGGGCCTTGTTGATTATTTCTTGTAGGGTGTGTCTTGTGGTGATGAATTCCCTCAGCTTTTGTTTATCTGGGAAAGTTTTTATTTCTCTATCATATCTGAGGGATATTTTTGCTGGATGGAGTAATCTTGACTGAAAGTTTTTGTCTTCCAGAATTTTGAATATGTCATTCCACTCTCTCCTAGCCTGTAAGGTTTTTGCTGAGAAATCTGCTGAAAGCCTGATAGGGGTTCCTTTCTAGGTTATTTTCTTCTGCCTTGCTGTCCTTAATATTTTTTCTTTGTCATTGGCTTTGCCAGTTTAACTAATATATGCTCCAGAGAAGGTCTTTTTACATTGATGTAATTAGGAGTTCTGTTAGCTTATTTTACTTGTGATTCCAGCTCCTTCCCCAGGTTTGGGAAATTCTCAGCTATTATTTTTTTGAACAAGCTCTCTGCTCCTTTCTCCCTCTAGTCTCCCTGTAGAATACCTATAATCCTTATGCTGCCTTTCCTAATTGAGTCAGATATTTCTTGGAGAATTTCTTCATTTCGTCTTAGTTTTAGTTCTCTCTCCTTCTCCATCTGAAACAGTTCTATATTTCTCTGCTCTAAATTGCTAATTCTGTCCTCCATAATATCAGCTCTGTTATTCAAGGAACTCCAGATTTTTCTTTATCTCATTCATTATGATTTTAACCTCCAACTTTTTTGATTGGTTTTTTTTTAAAGTTTCAATGTCTTTTGTGAAGAATTCCCTCTGTTCATTAATTTTATTCCTGATTTCATTGAACTAGCTTTCTGAATTTTCTTTTAATTCGTTGAGTTTTTTTTATGATAGCTATTTCAATTCTTTGTCATTTAGATAGTAAATTTCTGTGCCTTCAGGATTTGATTTCTGGGTGCTTGTCGTTTTCCTTCTGGTGTTTGTATATTCCTTCATACTCTTTGATGGGGTAGATTTGTGCCTTCGCATAGTGGTAATATCTGGTCATGGATTCCACCTGCTGCCACTGGGAGGGGTCAGGAGCAGTGTATTCTGAGCGTGCTGTGAACCCTGGCATCTGTGCCTGTCCTTTGGCATCTCTGCTGACAGAGGCCTGACTGCCATTGCCCGCTGGCAGCTGCTGCTTTACTAACACATGTGCTTGTGCCCTGGCAGGGCTCCCTTGCTCTGGCCAACTGGCCAAGCTGTTGCACTAGGTGGAGGGAGAGGCGCTTTCTTTCACGTGTGTGATCCCGGGGACGTTCTGGCTCTGCCTTCGTTATCTGCCCTCCTAGGGTGCTGGCTTGATGCAGACACCCCCACAGTAACTTAGCCTCATCTATGTGGAGCTTATCCACCTCTAGGAGGCAATTCGGGGAGCGAAGGCATTCCCACAGAGAGCTTCCACCTCCCCCTTCTCTTCTCAGAGCTGTGTGCAGTCCCACACCCTAGGTTGCTGCTGGGGAGGGAGAGGAGATCCCCTTACCTCCTTCCACTTCCTCCCGGGGGGTCCTGCACCTCCACCTTCATACGTGTGGCTGCCTGGGTCTCTCAGACGTTTGTTGTGTTGTGTGAATGTTCTCTGTTGATTTATGAGTGTCCTTTCTGTTGTGTCTTAGAGGGGAGAGTCTAAGGGAAGAGCTCACTCCACCATGATGCTGACATCACTCTCCTCTGGAATCTTTTTTAACAATTAAAAATCATGTTGATATGGAAAACCATTAACAATATATTGCTCAGGGAAAAGGTCAGTTACTACATATAGTATGATTCATATGCATATAAAAGAGGCTAGACAGACTCGCACCACAGTATAAGAGCGGCTGTCTCTGGGGGATGGAGTCCTGGCTGACGTGAGGAACATGCAGAGTGCCAGTGGCTCTCTGTGGTCCCAGGCGCTCTCGTAGAAGAAGGAAGTGATTGGTTTGTTGTTTAAGTTCATCTGGTGAGCAACAGAAATTTCATTGAAATATGAAATAAGTCATTGAGGAAAATAAAGATGTAATTAAACAATTTCTTAAGTTATAGATCTTGACCTTTTTCCTCATTAAAATAATTCCTTTTGGGGCCAGCCTGGTGGCGCAGCAGTTAAATTTGCACCCTCTGCTTCAGTGGCCTGGAATTTGCCGGTTTGGATTCTGGGTATAGCGCTCATGAAGCCATGCTGTGGCAGGCATCCCACATATAAAACAGAGGAAGATGGGCATGGATGTTAGTTCAGGGCCAATCTGGCTCAGCAAAAAGAGGAAGATTGGCAGCAGGTGCTAGCTTAGGGCCAATCTTCCTCAGAAAAATAAAAAATTTAAAAAATAGTTTCTTTCACCAGATGACTCCTCACTGGGGGGCGAAGACCAGCTTTAGCTTCAACATAATGTTAGGAGAAGGGTATATGGTATCAGCGTTGGTTTATTTATATGACATAAATATCACAGCAGCCTTTAGATACCTCAGACAAGGAACATTCATAAGTTCAGGCTCAGCGAGAGATGACGAGAAAATATTTGGTGGTCCTTTCTGTCTCATGGTTCTCTAGGGAAGACGGTTTCCCGTCGACCTTCAGTAGTTCAAAAGATAGTTATTTAATTATTGTTGTTGAGTGTTAACAATAAAGTGTGTCTAGTTTAGAATATAAAGCATTCTGTGATCCTGGATGTAAACCATCATTTTAACTTATAATTTTAATAAATAACTGTGTCATTATGTCAGGATTATTGAAGAACCTAAGTTTTTTTAGAGAAACTTTTAAAAGAAATTTGTTGATTGGCATGAGAAAGATGACAAAGTGATTTTTTTAAACCTAAAGCAAGCTGTGATGTCAAAAGCATCACCAATACAGTATCATTAGGGACAAAAATAAAAACAATTCACCCCTCTTTCCATCTCCTCCTGCGCCCCGTTTTGTACCTGCAGTGGGGTTGACTGTTCAGTATGAAGAAGATGGTCTCCAAGGTAGCCGAGCGTGTGGGGGCCTCAGGCCTCAGTCCTGCAGCTTTTATCAAAGAAGCTGACACTTTCTTAGTCCTTTCGCGTGTAAGGATGCCTCGTTAGAGTGATGCCTCAGAACGTTATCCATTCATTTATAAAAGACTTTCAAGTAGAAAATGAGACATGAATGTAATCTATTTCACCTTATTATAATATTTCATTTATCTTCTGAATATTAACATATGCACTTTGTAGAGAAAAGACAATAAGAAATAAACAGTCTAAGACCAGTGAGCTGTTTAGTTTCAGTGCTCATTTGGACTTCTTTCCCGTGTAAAATAGATCTGATAGTTATTAGACAGTAAGATACAACTTTAAAAAACTGAAAACTATTTAAGAGACTATTCTAGCTACATTGTACTTCACGTTTTGAATTATATCTTTCTTATATTAATATTTTGAAATTTGAAAACTCAGGGCATAGCTGGCTGGTTTTTCTTAAAAGTAGGCAAGCAAATCAGTGTTGCATTTCAACATGAGAGCCAAAGACCTTTATTTGGTTCTGCTCTGTTACTTCCTCTCATTTGTGGGATATGTGCATTGTATAGTATATGACAGATGTTTTTTCTAACATCCGTTTTAAAACTTTTTTATTTAGACTTTGACATGTGGCCCCCTTTTCTCTTGTTTGCAGGTCCATCGGCTGGTGGTAGTAAACGAATCAGATAGTATCGTGGGTATCATTTCCCTGTCAGATATTCTACAAGCCCTGATACTCACACCGGCAGGTAGGAATGCCCGTTTCTGACCTTTGCCCTGAAGTGAAGGAGGAGCGGGAGGTGGAGGAGTGGGCACAGCAGGTGGTGGCTTCTCCACCCCCGCCCCCCGCAGATGGCGGCTTTCTGTGTGTTCCCTTGTAAACCATTTTCACTTTCATTGTGGTTTTGAAGTTTTACTGTTCTACTTGGGTGACAGAGAAGAGTTTATAGCAAGTATTCTGACTCAGGAACATCCTTTCAACACCCCGCGGTGCCTGCATGATCGGGGCTTCACTGCCGTGCTCATCAGAACCTTTTCCATTGAAAGGCTACACTCTCTTCCGTTTTGCTTTATTTTCAGTATTACTCAATGGAAAACATAGGAGGGAAGTTCTTTGGGTTCTATCCATTGACGTCTTCATCGACCCTTTTTTTTAAAAAAAAAAAGCTTACTAGTGTTTTGAGTATATAAAACAAAAGACCTAAACACAAACTTTTTTCCATTAATAGTGTATGGAAATTACATTAACTACCAAACAGTGTTGGTGACTAAACTCATTTTCTGCCAGATTCCGTCTGAGCAAGCCCTCAGGTCACAGTCAGGGAGCGTGCAGCGAGGGCAGGAGTGGAAAAGAGGAGCTGGTGTTTCTCCTGTATCACACATTTAATAGTAGGGTGGGCTGAAGGGGCCCCACAACCACCAGCCGTCCCTCTTTCCCCTTCCCGCTCTGCCCTCCGCCCCATTAAGTACACACAGCCCAGCCTCGGGCCTCAGACGGAGGCCAAGAGGGGAGACTAAGTGACGTGCACTTTGAACTCTTAGAAGTTAAACATTAAAGTGCACGTGTACTACGGTATTGATTTTTCTCTGGTTCAAAAATCAGTCAGACTAGCTAAGAGTAGTTTTTGCAGTTGGCCTATAACTTAGATACCCAGCCTGAAAGAATCCCCACCACCAGCGAGAAGCATATCACGTCCCCGAAGTGAGGACACCACCGGCGTGATCCCAGAGCACTGCCTCACAGGGGCCGCAGGGCAGCGGCAGCTCCCGGGAGTGCTTGGAATGCACACTGGGGAGCCCCACCCCATGTCTGCAGAAGCCGAAACCGTAGAGACAGGACCTGGGGCAGTCATTGCCAAATGTAGTAGAGAACCTGAAACTCACGGCAAGCTTTATAATCACGAAATATTGATAAAATGACTAAAAGGATGTGAGATTGTTCAGAGCATTATTTGTAATAACCAAAACCTGGAAATAACCCAAATATCTTTGAGCAGAAGAATGGGCAGATTGCATTGTATTCATCCAGTGGAATGCTACACAGCATTGACAGCGAGCACACATAGCTATATTTGATGGTGGACAAACCTCACACAACGTCAGGAAAGGAGCAGGACCAATCCAGAGAGTGGGTTATGTTTCATATACGACTCTCCAGTCCCTTTGTCCACGTTAGGAAAAGGCCTCATCTCTGGGCAGACGCATCCCCACAGGCACATATTTGGCACCCTCAAAAAAAGACCCCCCTTTTCCTGGCGGCTGGCATGGGCCAAGGCACACAGTTTGCCCGGCAGAGTCAGGCGGAATCTCAGCTCTCTTCTGTCTCTACAGCCAAGATTCTTTGTGCATCGCCAACGCAGAGTAAAGTTCTTATCCTCTCTGTGCCTTGGTGTCGCAAACCATGAGAATGAGAATGTTGGGCTGGATGGGTTTAAATTTCCATCTAAATTTGCTATTTCAAAAGTTCTAAGCCGTTAATGCTCCTCTGCAGGGAGGAAACGTGTCCCAGAGCTGGATTTGAAATGCGCGTTACCGTAGAAGGAACATTAGAAAGACAGCAACAGTTGAATTAGAATTCTCTATAGTAGAATGTGTGTAACACTACTTGGGACAATGTTGTGTGTTCCTAATAACTGGATTACAAGTGGACATTTGGAGCAGAACTCTGCTGGAATGCAGGACTGCCTCCGTCTGGCAGCAGCAGTGCAGATGCCCCTGCGCGTGGGAGACAGCACGGTATAAGCATCAAACCAGGGGGCCAGTCTGGTTATCCCCAGCAGCTGAGTGTGAGCAAGCCGCTCACCTCATCGAGCCTCCATCCCTTCAGCTGTAGAATGAGCGGCTGAGACAGGCCGTGTCCCTCCAGATACTTTGAGTTGAAACCAAAAGTGTGAGTGAAAGCTGTTTGTGTGCACTAAGGCACCGGACCCAGGACGAGCCCTGTTGAGTGGGTGTTTATCGAATAATCAGTAAGAGGCACTTTTAGAAAGCATCCACTATGAATGTGAATAAAAGGCACCAGTGGTTATTCTTTTTACCAGATAGTGGGCATAATTCCTCATTACAGACACTGATTCAATATAACATTTTTTCACAAAGTTTTTAGCAGTAGTTCATTGTCCGACTGTCCAAACGAACCTCGGTATCTACACATGAAACCAGGGAGTAAGCAGTGTGATGGCAGTAGTTACAGGTTTTTAGCCCTTTATTTCTGTAGATTGGTAATCTCTTTCAAAAGTCTAGTGTCTTCTAGAGTCGGATGAGAAAATAGGAGGGAAGCTGCTGTGATGAGAACAATAGTAGCTCTCCCTACCAACCCATTTTGAAATATCCTGGCCAGATATGGGTAGGTGCTGTGCACAGTTATCCTTAAACATGTTATAATGCTCTTTTTTACATTTTTGTAAGTATGTACAACAGAAATACTTTGCACCTTCACTAAAGCATAAGTACATATTTCTTTTATAAAAATTTTATCAGAACCCTTTTCCAAAGTCAGTCTTGCATATTTGGAACTACAGTGTGTCATATGGACTAAAAGCGAGCTGCAGTAACGGTAGGTGAGGGGGGGGAACTCAAGCCCACCTGCTCACCCCACTTCTCCAGCTCCTGCAGCCTCCAGAACGGCCTCATAAGGCCCTGCAGGGCGCGGGTGGAGCCGCTGCAGGGCAGAACCACTGCTGCTGTGATGGAGGACGTGCACAGCTGCGACATATTTTTATGTTGCTTTGAAACTTTCATTTTCCATCTACTGACAGGTGCCAAACAAAAGGAGACAGAAACCGAATGACCGCTGTGAATGGAGAAGCCCTGGTGGGAAAACTTGAACAAAGATTCTGGGTCACGCTTTGCCTCATGAACACTGACCGCGAGAGAAGAGACTGAAATGGCTATGAATGTATATCAACGTTTAGTGATGGGTATTTTTTCCAGTAATGTTGAAACTAAGCATAAAAAAAGAAAGATTTTATGTGTTTGAAGATTCAGGCTTGCATCAAAAGGCTATTTTCAGACCTTTGTCTGAAATATTTCAAATGCTGTATGTCATTAAAGTGCACTGTGTCCTGAAATTTTATTAGTTTTCATTTCAAAGAACTCACTGGTAATGTGACAGGTATATGACATAAGGCGAGTGTATGGCATATTCAGATCTAGTGCCTTATGTCGGAACACAGCGATATGTCATCACTACTGCCCTTCGCCACAGAGCGTCCTGGTGTGAGTGACACTGCTGGAGCGAAAAGTCTTTGACCCTTTACCAAATCAGTTTGTTTTCATTAGATTTGTCGAACAGTCGTAATTTGAATATAAATAATTACTTTATAAAATTTTAATGACAGTTTTATGTTTGTGTTCTGAACTAGAGTGTAAGCAAGACTGCTTTACAACAGCTTTATTTATTTTTACTTTCATGCAGTTTTTTACACATCTTTTGGTGAGTAGACGTCACCATACCCATTCATAAACCATCAGTTGTTATTTTAAAATGGCAGATTTCTCATTATTTAAGTTTGGATCTGTGAAGGATATGACTTCTCAAGGAGCCACTGTGCGGCTTTAAAAGATGAGGTTTCTGGAAGCCTGTGTGGAAACTGCTCTGCGGACTGGGGACAGCCGCGGTTACGAGGAAGCAAAGTGCCGGGAAGATGTCTATTTTTTTCTTGTGTATTGAAATGTAAAATCACAATGTTTGTGTGACTGCTGATGCGATTGTTTCTGTACATTTCGTTGTGGCATATGCAGTATTGTCATAGTTGGAGAGAAACAATGTTTCCTGATGTAAGTGCTCTGAAAATGTTGACACTGTATATATATAAGTATAGTTTGGTTTTTTTGTTTTTGGGGTTTTTTTTTTTGCAGATTGAGAAATTAAAATAAATCCTACTATCTACCATTTTGTTAAAGAAGTTCTTTAAAATGTCGTGTATTTCAGCACATAATTAAAATTCTGCATGCAGTTTCCCACTTAGATATTTCTCCCTGAATAAAGGAGAACATGAATTCTCATATCCTTTTTTCTAATCAGAAAAAAACCTTAATGATTTTATTCATAAACTGTTTTACTCTCCGTTCTTTTTCTTTTTTTTTTTTTTGAGGAAGATTAGTCCTGAGCTAACATCCACTGCCAAGCCTCCTCTTTTCGCTAAGGAAGACTGACCCTGAGATAACATCTGTGCCCATCTTCCTCTACTTTATATGTGGGACACCTGCCACAGCATGGCTTGACAAGCAGTGGTCCACACCCAGCATCCAAACTGGTGAACCCTGGGCCACCAGAGCAAGGTGCCCAAATTTAGCCACTACGCCACCAGGCCAGCCCCTATATCTCTCCACTATTAAATAGAACATATTTAATTAAAAGTTGCCATGCAGATTTTCTTGTGCTTAGGTGTCAATTTTTTTGTTTGCTAGGAGGCCGGATATGAGCGGAAGAGCCTTAAGTATATGTTTTCCCCATAGAAACAAGAGCGGTTGTGACTTAGGCTAATGGTAACGCTTGGGAGAAAGGAAGAAAGTCACAAAGCTACTGAAACAACGCAGTTCTGAAGCTCAAAGCATCTATACTCAGACTGCCCCTTGTCTGTGAAGAACACACAAGTGGGCAGAGACTACGGATGTGCAGGTGACATGCTGTCTATCTTCTGCTTCAGCAGTTTGGGGCCACTTAGAAATTTATTAGCATTTCCTCTTCCCACGAGGCATGCGCACATCCTGCAGGCCTCCGACCCTCCCTAAGTACTTTTTAAGGGTTTAGAGTCGTGCGGAAGTGTGTTAACGCACGTTGGTTTGAGTGGAGCAGCCTCGTCTAGTCATCAGACAACCAACAACGGTTCATTATCCTTTTGTTCCCATCTAAGAGTTAGCATTTGTTCTCAGCAAATGCTAAACGCTGGGTTATAGTGAATGTGCTTCTCAGTGCCCTTCTAGGAATCAGGAGAAGTGGCGCTTAAAGGAGGCCAGGTGCAGGAAGGATTCTAAGGGAAAAAGTGTTATCAAGAGAGAAACCCGCGTTGAAACCCTTGCTGGGCGAGCCACGGGTGTCTGCAGCGCGCTCATCACCGAAAGGCTCGCCAGGACCCCGGGCGGAGGGCTCACGCGGTGCTGTTGCGCCCCCAGCAGGTACTCTGGCCCTCGCACCAAGAGGAACTGGCAGCCCCTCAAAGGGTTGTTGTGAACTAATGATGGATATGAGAGCAAGAGCATGTCAGAAACACCATGTCTGTTGCAGGAATGTAGTGTCCATTGTTTTGTATTCTAATCTCTAAGAAAAATGTAAACATTTATTGATGTTTCTTATAACATTTTCTTAGAGAGCCACCTGCCTGAGCAGATACAGCCTTCTCAAACCCGTGGTTCTCAACCAGGGGAGACTTTGACCTTAGGGGACACTTGGCAAAGTAGAGACATTTTTGGTTGTCACCACTGGGGGTGGGAAGGAGGGCTGTGTGCTGCTGGCATCTGGTGGGTAGAGGCCCCTACGACTAAGAGGATCCAGCTCACGATGTCAGCGTTGAGGTTAGAAACCCTGTCCTATGCAATTAGAATGTTCTGGGTCTTTTGGTTACATTTGTTACTTCCTAACTGAATCCACCTGTCTTTAAAAGAAAAATTCAGCAGACAGCCTTTCTGGGCAAGGGGGGGGATGGAAATAACCCACAGGTGAATTCTGTAGGTCCATGTGACCCTTGACAATTTCTTCCAAAGCATTTTCGCCAAAAAGGGAATTTTGCTTTGCAGAATAGCACTCAGGAGAAAATTCCTCCCCATAGGGATATACCTGGAAAGTAAATTTTACTCAGTTATTTTATTTTCAAAAAGAAATCTAAAACAGGCTCCAAAATTGTTTTTCACATAAAATTACCTGCAAAGCTGGCATAGCTGTCAGTCTCCATATAGAGCATGCGTAAAACACCTTCACGTGAAACCCCTAAAATTCCCTCTCACTGTGGACAGCCCCATCTTATTTCTTGGACTAAACGCACTGCATTAAAATTTACTTTTAGGGGGCTGGCCCCGTGGCCGAGTGGTTAGGTTCGCGTGCTCCGCTTCGGCAGACCAGGGTTTCGCTGGTTCAGATCCTGGGCGCGGACATGGCACCCCTCATCAGGCCATGCTGAGGCGGGGTCCCACATGCCACAACTAGAAAAACCCACAACTAAAAAATACAACTGTACCAGAGGGCTTTGGGGAGAAAAAGGAAAAAATCTTTAAAAAAGAAAAAATGTAGCAAGGACATAGTAAAACTATCATTCAGCTCAAAGCATATCAAGGTTCCTTCTGGCAGGGTGGTTGGGAAAAAAGTCAGGTACCCAGTTCTCTCTAGACATCTCTGCACGTGACGTGCTGCTGACCTCTCCCCACCGGGGCTCACATGTCAGCATCCAAACACCCGCAGGAACCACTCTGACTTCAGTGTGCGTTGCCTCCCTGGATGGCCTGCGTGGCAAATTCCGTTTGAGACCAGAGCCCTAAGGGGCACCGGCTTCTGGTGTGTTGGAGATGGAGAATTGGCCTCATGGCTGCTCCTACTCGATGTCAGCAACTCAACATCTCGTCCTCTCTTGCGGCTCCCGGGCCCTCAGTGGACAGGAGAGTGGTCAGCACCACGGTGAATCTGAGAGACTGAGGTAAACACGGCCACAGGGCACCGTGCTCCCTCCAGCACGCCCCTGGTCCTGGTGGGCCCTTAAGGGAGAATGCTTCCTAGCCGCCCCCAGGGGCGCAACTCCACCCCCGCTGTGCTCCTCGCAGGTCTTAGGAACAGGCGCCTTCCCTGCCGTCGTTCCTCCTGTAGAGTGTGCCTCCACGGCCTGTGAGGGAGAAAAGGCCCAAAGCCGAGCCCTGTGCTGCTCAGGACATGGCCTCAGCTACAAAGACCAAGTAGGAACCTCAAATTACTGCCCATGAGGCCGAGGCCTTCCCGGCCCGCGAAGATCTGAGGAGGGCGAGCATCTCTCCCACCTTTCAGCATGTGCGCCCGAGGCCGTCCTTGCTTTGGCAACCCTTCCAATATGCTTCCTGGGAGACAAGGCCGCCCTGGCTGTGGGGCCAGCTGCCTGCTGGCTGCAGGGCCTTCCCCTGCCCGACCTGGGGAGGGGAGAGGTTGCACTCAGCTGAACCTTGACCTCTCTCAGCAGCCCCAGCCCCTGAGTTCCAGGGCCAGGGCTTTCCCGCCCACCAGGCACCTCCACCAATGTGGGACCCACTGTCTTCATACACAGAGCAGAGACACTGGAAACGTCTGAAGCTTCCGTGAGCTTTTTAATCCTTTCTCTGCTCCCCGCTCCTTGAAAAGACATCATAAAATGGCAGCATTTCTGACAAAGCTTTCCAATGGATTCAGACTGATAAGCCCCAAAAGGTGACCCTTCCAACTTACATTCATCAGAGTCGTTAAATTGCATGTTTAAACCAAAAATCTAGTCATCTTTCGCTGCTCAGAAACCATCAATGGACCCCCTGCCTACAGGGCCAAGCCTGACATCCCTGGTGGGGGATGAGGCCCTTCACAGCTGCCCCAAGGGGCGTCCCAGGCCGTGTCCTCAGCCCCTGAGCCCCTCCCACCTTCCTGAAAGCACCGCCCCTCCACACCTGCCCAGCAACCTGAGCTGGTCCCCGCCTCCTCTCTCAAGGCCCAAGTCAGATATGAGTGCCGTCGTGAGGCCCCCGTGACTCCCCCACCCCACAGACAGATGCCTGCCTCCTCTGTGCTTCACGTCCTCGGTCCCTCCTGCCTCCTTCCTGCACAGCAGAGCGCGGCGCGGGCAACCACCCAGCATCTCCAGTCAGAAGATGTGCTTCTCGGCACTGCCCTGTGCTACCAGGAAACAGCTGTAAAGCCACTCACCTTTCTTAGCCTGGGTTTTCCCCTCTGTAAGGCTCTTGAGAGGGATAAGCATATGTGTATACACACACCGTTAGATGGAAGGGCACTCCATACCTCTAAAGGACTATACAAATGTCAGCATCAGGCCTTGTCATCGTTGACACGGTGGCCACCTGGGTCCCTGGAGGAAGGTAACAACATCCTACTCATCTCCATACTCTCACCCTGGCAGGTCTCTGGCACCTGGTAGGTGCCTCATGAATGTCTCCGATGTTTGATGAGTGGTTGGTAAAGGTCAGTACACCTCCTAGGACCGTGGGGCTGGTGAAATGCTCCCGTCGCACGAAGCGTTTCCCTCTAACTTGCCGGTTTGCTGGATAAAGTTCAACGGACGCCACAGAATATGGAGCATCATCTACAAATTCAGAGGCAGCCGTCTTCTCCGCCTTCAGCCTTGACATTCAAGGACAGACACAGGGCTCCTGGAAGGAGACGCAGAGGCAAGGCTTCTGGGGGTGAGGGCATTGCTCCCTCGCTCTCACAAAGGGCACTTCCTTATCAGAGAAAGGATGTGGATGCCCGTGGACCCCCAGAGCGCGCCCGAGGTCAGAGGAGAGAGGGGCCTTCATGTTATGATCGAGAGCACAGAACAATACAACAGACCCTGTGTGAAGGGAGCTCCCTTCCCTCGTGAGGAGAATGCAGAAAAGGACACCAACACCTGCTCAGAGAGAAAAATGAGACTGGCGTCAGGAATAGGAAAGACCAGAAAGGTGTGAGGGTAGAGACAGCGCCTGACAACTCCATGGAAGGAGCAGAGGACTCGAGGAGCTCATTCCTGACCCTCCTATAATCCAGAAGCAGCCATCCCATGATATTTTGAGAATTCCTGGGTACCTTCTTTCTTTGCCCCTTTTCTCTTTTTGCTAGCTGGAACAATTTTCAGAAACTCCCAAAAAACAGTTTGATTAGCATGAAAAAGCTAGGTACTGAGTACATGTTTGAAATGTTCCATAACAAAAAGTTTTTAAAGCTTTACAAAAAAATTTTTACAAAAGTAAATAGTCTATTTCCTTTTAAGTAACTTTATCTTAACTTAGACATATTAAAATTAAAATAAGTGATAGGAAAGACATACTAAGATTAAAAAAAACACTTGAGATTGTTTTCAAAT